GAAATTTTCAGAACTTAGCCACCTAACAAAGAACTCATTTCATAAAGCTCTATGCATTATTTAAGGATATACGCAACGTAGTTTGAGCTTTATCGTCTTTTTCCCTGGAGTTGAAGAGTTCCAATACTTAAAATAACTATGTGCTACATTTCATTGTCTATATATGCTATTGTGCACTTCTTCTAAATCAAGTTTGGATAAATAAAACATCGAGAATATATGTTTAGTAATTTTGTTTATTTTTCTTTGAATTATACAAGAATTTTCATCAATTGATATATTTTCAAAACCCATGGAAAAGCATGTTGATTTTTTTTTTATCTACGAACATCTGATGCCACTGTAATCTTAGATTAAGAATATCTTGAAAAATTATCAGTAGGTAAGGTACGTTGAGTATGTCCTTAATTGACTTTTTAGCTTTCCTGAGCTGAAAGCTCAAGTGAGCTTTTCTTATCACCTGTTGTCCGTCGTCCGTTCGTCTGTAAACTTTTCACATTTTCAACTTCTTCTCAAGAACCACTGGGCCAATTTTAACCAAAGTTGGTACAAAGCATCCCTGGTTAAAGGGGAGTTTAAATTGTTAAAATGAAGGGTCAATCCCCCTTACAAGATAATCAAGAAAAGACAAAAATTAGGGTGGGGTCATTAAAAAATCTTCTCAAAAACCACTGGGCCAGAAAAGCTGAAATTTATATGTTAGCATCCTGGGCTAGTGAAAATTCTAAATTATCAAAACATAGCCCCCGGTGTAAGGTGGGGTGACAAGAGGGAATCAAAATTTTACATTGAAATATGTAGGAAAAATCTTTAAAAATTTTCTCAAGAACCACTGGGACAGAAAAGCTGAAACTTATATGGAAGCATTCTGGGATAGTGTAGATTCTAAATTGTTCAAATCATGACCCCAGGGGTAGGGTGGGGCCACAAGAGGGAATCAAAGTTTTACATTGAAATATAAAGAAAAAATCTTTAAATATCTTTTTCTTAAGAACCACTGGGCCAGAAAAGCTGAAAATTATATGGAAGCATTTTGGGGTAGTGTAGATTCTAAATTGTTCAAATCATGACCCCCGGGGATAGGGCGGGGCCACGGTAGGAAATCAAACTTTTACATTGAAATATATTGGAAAAATCTTTAAATATCTTCTTTTCAAGAACCACTGGGCCAGAAAAGCTGAAACTTAAATGGAAGCATCCTGGGTATTGTAAATTCTTAAATTGTTCAAATCATGACCCCCAGGGTAGAATGGGGCCACAGTAGAGAATCAAAGTTTTAAATTGAAATATAATGGAAAAATCTTTAAATATCTTCTTTTCATGAACCACTGGGCCACAAAAGCTGAAACTCACATGGAAGCATCTCGGGGTAGTGTAGATTCTAAATTCTTCAAATAATGACCCCGGGTAAGGTGATATCACAATACATATTACAAGAGGGAAAATCTCGTGAAGAACAGCAGGGCCAAAGTTACTCATGGGCCTCTTGTTAAAATATATTTTCTGTTGCACTCTCTGTCTGAGTAAGGCAAATTAAACAACAGACCCCTATGCCAGAATGCTCACCTTAGTCACTATTGCCCAACTGTTCTTCCGCAGCTTTCATCCCTATATACTTTGATCGCATATTGTGGCCCCGTCCTCTCTCCGGGGGTTATGATTAGAACATAATTTGAATAAAAATTACTTGCAGATGCTTCCATATCAATGTGACTAACCATGCCTTTGATGTTCTTGATGAGGAGATATTTAAAGATATTCCTTGTATTTTCCTATGTAAAACTTTGACTGCCTACTGCAGCCCCAACATAACCCCTAGGGTCATGATTTGAATCTTCACTATGTAATGAAGCTTTCACTCAAGTTTGAACTCTACTGGGAAAGTGGTTCTTAAAAAGATATTTTTCATACTTAATCCTATGTCAATCTTTGATCGCCTTCTATTGTGACCCCACCCTACTCCCTGGGGACATAATTTGAATCTACACTATTTACTGAATTTTTCTTTTAAGTTTCAACTCTTCCAGCCTAATGGTTCTAGAAAAGAATAATGACATTCAATTTTTTACTAATTCTTTTATTTTTCTCTCCTTGAAATAGGACGTGGTCCTTTGTTTGAACAAACTTGAACCCGCTTTACCCAAGAATGTTTTATGGCAAATTTGGTTGAAATTGGCCTTGATTCTTGAGAAGTAGGGGACTAATAAGGAAGAATACATCAATATATGACACCCCCACTGAACATGCTAACAATTTTTGACAACCCCCCCCCCCTTCCATAATTAGAACTGGAATTTGCAGTACCTGACCTCAGGATGCTTGCATATTATGACCCTGTTGTTCTGGAGAAGAATCTTTTAAGATTTTTATGCCCCTGGATCGAAAGATCCCGGGGGTATATTGTTTTTGTCCTGTCTGTCTGTTGTCAACTTTAACCTTGCCCATAACTTTTGATTGGTTGGAGCTATGACTTTCATATTTCACATGTGTATTCCTTGTGACAAGACCTTTCTTTGGGTACCATCATATTTGACCTTTTGACCTTGACCTTGGAGTTTGACCCACTTTTGCAAAATTTTATGAGACTTTAACCTTGGCCATAACTTCTGAACAATTGGTGCTTGGGGTTTCAAACTTCCCATGTGTATTCTTTGTGACAAGGCCTTCCTTTGGATACCAACAACTTTGACCTTTTGACCTTGGAGTTTGACCTACTTTTGAAAAACTTTAACCATGGCCATAACTTTTGAAAAGCTGGTGTTTCGGGTTTCAAACATCACATGTGTATTCCTTGTGACAAGATCTTCCTCTGGATACCAACCTCTTTGACCCTTTGACCTTGACATAGGAGTTTGGCCTACTTTTGAAAAACTTTAACCTTGGCCATAACTGTTGAACGGTTAGAGCTAGGGCTTTCATACCTCACATATGTAATCCTTGTGACAAGACCTTCCTTTGGATACCAACCACTTTGACCTTTTGACCTTGACCTAGGAGTTTGACCTACTTTTGAAAAACTTTAACCTTGGCCATAATTTTTGAATGGTTGGTGCTAGGGCTTTCATACTTCACATATGTAATCCTTGTGACATAACCTTCCTTTGGATACCAACCGCTTTGACCTTTTGACCTTGACATAGGAGTTTGACCTACTTTTGAAAAACTTTAACCTTGGCCATAACTTTTGAATGGTTGGTGCTAGGGCTTTCATACTTTACATATGTAATCCTTGTGACAAGACCTTCCTTTGGATACCAACAACTTTGACCTTGACCTTGATGTTTTACTTACTTTTAAAAAACTTTTACCTTTGCCATAACTTTTGAACAGTTGCAGCTAGGGCTTTCAAATTTAACATTTTTTATCTTTTGGCCTGGATTTTGACTTGCATTTGAGAAACTTTAACCTTCGCCATAAGCTGCCATACGGGGGCATCAGTGTTTCACAAACACATCTTATTCATATATATTTTCCATGTAAAAATTTGATCCCTTATTGTGGCCCCAACTCATCCCCGGGGGTCATGATTTGAACAAACTTGTACGAACTGTGGGTAAGACAGCTTTCATATTAATAATGGTTCTGCTGCTTTTGAAAAGAATTTTATAAAAATATTTTTACTTACATAAATTTTCATTGATCCCTCATTGTGGTCCCACTCAAATTTGAAGTTTATATACTGAGGATGCTTGCATATTTATATGACTAATCATGGCCCTGCTGTTCTTCATCAGAAAATTATCAAAGACTTTTCTTATATAATCTCTGTAAAAACTTTGATCCCTTGTTGTGGCCCCACCCTATCCCCAGGGACAATGATTCGAGCAAACTTGAATCTGCATTAACTGAGGATACTTCAATATTAATATGACTAATCATGGCCCCTTTGTTCTTCATCATCAGATTAAAAAAAAAATTCTCTCTATATATTCCTATGTAAATTCTATTTCATCCTCTTCTGTGGCCCCATCCTACCCTTCAGGGGCCATGATTTGAGTAAACTTGAATCTACACTGTCAGGAAGCTTTCATATATCAATGTCAATTACGTTGGTCAAGTGGTTCTTGAGATTTTTAAATGACCCCAGCCTATTTTTGCCTTTTCTTGATCATCTCCCCTTTGAAGGATGCACTAAACTTCATTGAAACAATAAATTATGGACGAAAAGCTCATATCAGAGAGAAATCATTTAAATTACTGAAAAATGCAGAATAGGGTAAAGAGCTCTGCAATATATTACCACCCTGAGGCCATGAATTTCAAAATTTTAATAGGAGGCAATAAATGTAAATGTTCATTAATATCATGGAAATGGGCTAAAAGCAAATAAGTTATGACCCAGCTACTGAAACACAGACTAGTAGGTCATAACCATCTGCATACTGGTAGTTTGTATCCTAGATTCCCAAGAAGTGAATGTGCTGATATTGGAAGCCTTAGGCCAGCAGGGAGATGGAACCCTCTACTTAATGATGGATTGTATAAAAATTATTTAAGAATGGTTCAGTGGCTTCAAAGAGGAACCTGAAATACGACATGTAATGGATGCAGCTACATAATAATGGAGGGGAAGAGAGAGAGCAACAAGTTATCAAGAAAAGACATGGCAGAAAAATGCAACTTTTATGACATATTTGGTTTACTATAGTCAGAAGTTAATTCAAATTTAACAAGAGATGTTTGTGAAACACTTAATCCCCCCCCCCCCCCCAAACAATTGGAATGTTTCTAAGTCCAAGGGGCATAACTCTGTCAACAATTACCCAAAACAGAACTTGACCTAGGTATTCTTATGATAAATCTGTACACAAAATTTCATTTCAGTTTGCAACCTCTGCCAAGAAAATGAACGGAAACTGTTGGTGGACCAACAGACAGACTGACCAACTGACAGACAGCAGCAAAGCAATATGCCCTCCCTTCTTCCAGGGGGGGGGGGCATTAAAATATTAATTTCTCTGCAAGATGAAAATTCAAATCAAAAGGAATTGTATTTAAAGCTTTAATTCACAAACAACAATCAATTTAGCACCTCTGTTGCTATAACAAATTCCATAACAGAATATGTAATGAAAAGAAGTAACCCATTCAAGAGCATCTCGGCAATAACTGATACATCTTATTATAAATATAGTTCACAACTTCCAACTTGTTCCTCATTTCAGCAATATTTCTCTTTGCCTCCTCAATGGCAAAGTTCAGAATAGCAATGAACACCACTAACACAGTCCACTGTACCAGAAATATGTACAGGAAGAAAAAGACTGGTCCCAGATATCTGTGCGCTTGATAAAGTGAAGGAAAATCCGATTCTCCAAGGGCTAGTCTGAACAGGGTAACGAGAGTCTTGCCCATGTCCATAAACCCCTCAATAAAAGGTCCAAAGGTCAACACTGAAAAGTGTCCAAATCCTGCTACCACTACAAAGACTATTATGCTAAAACCAATCAAGTTTGGTTTGGCTATAGAAAGGGTCTGTGAAAGTAGATACATTCTTGCATTAAATTTCAAAAATTTGAAAAATTTTAGAATCACCAATCCCACAAGGAAAGCCATGACGTAATTCAGTATCATATCCCAGGAAACGGCTGTGTAGAAGCTGACAAACTCTGTACTGGAGAGGTAGTCTGAAAGTGTATTAGATACCGAGACGAACCGCTGGAAGAACAGGCCAATCACACTGAAGGACAAAATAATCTGAATGATTTCCACAAAGCTCCATGGATCACTAAAGTACTGTGTCTTACCTTCATAGTACAGCTTTCTGATTTCTATATATGAAAATGTCAGAGTAAAAATGACAAAAAATACTTCACAGACAGCAGTAAATATTTCCAGACCATTATCATAGCCATAGAGTTTTGTGGTGAAGATCTGGTAACTTGGAAAAATGGCTCCAATATTGGAGAATTCAAAAAGAATCATGATAACACTAAATAAGTTAACATTAGCATTGTAAGTTGTGAACTCGATAAACACAGCTCTGGTTCTATGATCTATCCAGTCTGAGTTTTGCAGGTCTTGTATCACTGACATAGATCTGGTTATGTTCCCAGCTAGAACCACGGTATATCCTCCTCCACTGTATGTTGCTAACCTCCCCTCATACGGTATGGTCTTCAGCTTCCAGGAGGACCGGTGACTCCATGTGTCAGGGATCGACTTGACTTTGGTGGGGAGCGGCTTCCTCCATGTCATGTTATAGTCTCCAGTGTCTTCATCCCCTACCCAATATTCCCCTGTACAATCCATAGCAATGGAAAAACTTTTTCTCAGAACATCTGGGAAGGCACAGGTGTCTGCAAATATTGAGATTTAAAAAAAAAAAAAAAACTAAATCTATTTTCTACAAACTAGAAATCTCCCTAAATAAATTCACTTACAATGTGTAAGAATGGATTTTATACCCAGTATTCTCAGATGAGATTTTGACACGTAACTCTTACCTTGTTTGATGCGGACTTGTCTCAGTCTATACCATCCCAACAGGAAGTATTCACTGACGGAACTGGCTACTGTCGAATTTCCCAGGGACATTTCACCAAGGACTGGCACAATGCGCTCCTGAATGTAGGACCAAAATAATTCTACATTGGCCACCTGTAATCAAATGGGAGAAAACTTAAAATTGATTTTATTTTTGGTATCTCATTCACACTTTTTGTCACTATAGAATATATTACTTGTAAATGTACTTTTTTCAAAGGGGTCATAATTCTGCGAAATCACAATTTCTGTTTAATCTGCAGGTAGAACATTACGCAGATATCTTAGATTGCCACTATTGTAGATCACTAAATTTTCGCAACACTTTATTTTCGCAAGATAGTCATTGACTCTTTATTAGCGAGACAAAATATTCACGAATTGTGGTTATTGCTCTATATAATCTTTAGGAATATTAATATACCCAAGAATGAAATTTTCGCGAGCACACTGTCTCACATAATTACGCAAAAATAAAGTTCTCACGAATAAAAGGTGATTTACAGTATAAGCCCTACATGTACTTTAAGTACGCAGGGACAAATTTATGCGGAAAATTTATGGCTGTGTACAAAGGGCAAATTAATACCATGCGTAAAAAAGTACTTCTACGGTATAAAAGGTGTACAAACATAGAATTTAGCAGAACCTTGCATCATCGAGTTCTGAAGTTCATCAGTCTCAAGTTAACACAGGGATTTTAACTTTTTTCCCTAAAAATCAAGATATTATTTCATACTTACATTTCCAAGTTCTAGAATGTCCGTGGAATAGCCTGAGCCATCAATGTATATAGGAGGATGTCTGGGTTGTACAAATGTATTCTCTAGAAATTCATGCACCCTGTATGAATCACGGACAGATTTATGTCCATGAGCCATAAAGATGACACATATAATAAATGTCAGATAAAGCATGATGTCCCTGAGTGTGGCCTGAGTGGCCTCCTCCAGCTTCAGCTGTTTGCGGATTCGATTCATCAGTCGCTGGGACAGTGGATCAGGGACGTAGTAACCCTGTCTCCTGTCTGAGTCCCCATACTGCTCCTTTTTCTCCTCTGGAATATTCAGTTCAATCATTAGCCATATTTACTTGGTAAATTAAAATTATATAAAGCACATTGGTTGGAAATATTCTCAAGGATGATTATTCAGATTGACAATTATTATGCTTTAGATTTGGGTTTCTTTTATCTGTTTAAAATGAAAAAAAAATACACAAATCAAAAGACATTAAACCTTCAACTTAACCAGTACTGGCCTTAAACAGCTCTGGTCTTAACTTGAATTGGACCAGGGCTTAACTTGCTTTTATTTCTATTTGCCTTTACCTCTTTCATATGTATTAGTCTGTGCCTGCCTTTACTTGTATCGGACTTTACCTGTACTGGACTGTGGCTCAAGTTGCTTTTATTTCTGTTTATCTGTATTAGTCTGTGCCTGCCTTTACTTGTTTTGGACTTTTCCTGTATTTCCTATACCTGCATTAGACTTTCCCTGTATTGGCCTTTATCTGTTTTTTTTAATGCATAGGAACCCTTGTCTTTACCCACCTAAACCTGTATAGGCCTTTACCTGTCTTTACCTGTTTGGATTCTTTACCTGTCTCTACCTGTAATGGTTTTACCTGTACTGGACATTATCTGTATTCAACTTTACCTGTATGTCTTTACCTGTCTTGACTTTTACCTGTATTGGCCTCTACCTGTATTGCCTTTACCTGTATTGGACTTAACCTGTATTGGTCTTGACCTGTATTGACCTCTACCTCTATTGAACTTGACTTGTATTGATCTTGACCTGTACTGACCTCTTCCTGTAATACATTTACCTGTACTGGCCTTTCCTCCTTGGATCTCCACAGGTTTTTTCAGAATCATCGTGAATATAAGGGATATAGCAATGACTTTGAGGGGCTGGGTGACAAAGGCACTTTGGAAGAAAGCAGTAAAGAATGACACAAGCCATTCAACACTCTTCCGATAGCCAAATTTAAGGCCATACAACATTACAAAGTAAGAGGAGACAACTGACAGAGTGATGACCAGTGTCCAGGCAATGTACACAGTCCACCATGGCAAACTGAAAAATATGATCACAACAAAGTGATTTCAGTTAATACTTCTACATCAAAATAATGCAGAAACTCACTTTATTTTGAATATCATGACACTGTAGTAATATAAAGCAGTCAAACCAAAAACTATAGAACCAGCAATGCATGTAATTTGAAAGAATTCAGTTAATTAGTACAGTTAATTAGTACTCTACACTTTCTCAGGAACCTTCCATGAAAGTTTCATCTTTTCTAGCCCTGTGGTTCTTGAGAAGATTTTTAAAGATTTCTCTTATATATTCCAATGTAAAACTCTCATCCCCTTATTTGGCCCCACCCTAACCCTGGGGGTCATGATTTGAATAATTTAGAATCTACCCTTCCTCAGAGAGCTACCATATAAGGTTCACCTTTTCTGGCCTAGTGGTTCTTGAGAAGATTTTATAATGACCCCACCCTATTTTTGCCTTTTCTTGATTATCTCCCCTAGGAAAGGGATTTGGCCCTTTATTTGAAAAGTTAAAATCCCCTTTACCCAAGGATGCTTTGTGCAAACCTCAGTTAAAATTGGCCCAGTGGTTCTTAAGAAGTCAAAAATGTGAAAAGTTTACAGATGGATGGAGAAACAGACAGACAGATGAAGGGACAGAGGATGATCAGAAAAGCTAACTTGAGCTTTCAACTCAGGTGAACTAATAAAAGGATATCCCATAGTTTCAAACTTGCCAATATTTTTAAGTACTAGGCTGAATTCCTAAATACATTTTTTTTTTTAAATCTAGTGTTTTTTGCATAAAATATTTTGTTTTAAGACATAAGTTATAATGTACATGTAATTTTCATATCAATATTTTTTAACAATCATTATTGTAGAAACTGTAATTTGTATCAATATTACTATAAATTTTCTGCATAGTCAGAGCTGAGGTCTTCCATCAAATGTACTCTTTTATTTTCTTTAAATTACTATTTCTTTCTAGATATTTCATATTTGTGTTAAAAATAAATAAAAATATCTTACATGCCATCTTCTTTGGCGGGTTCCATCTCTTTCTCAGTAGCCTGATCTCCGTCATCAGTTCCAACACTGACTACCGAGTACTTCTCCTCTCTCTGTGGTTTCTTCTTGACTTGAGTTCCTCCCCTTGGTTTCCTTTTAGATTTTAGAAACAGCTGAATGATGAGGATATTTACGGGGAACATGATCAGCCCACTCTGGACCCCAATAGCCAGGTCAGATAGTGATATGGTTAGGTATCCCACCTTAGCCTGATCTGCAGGGTCATCTGTTGGAATTCCATGAAACATGAGACTAGTCAACATGGTCATCAGAAGTAGACAGAGGGCACAGGACAGTCGCTGGACTCGAGTGAATGTGCTGTAGGAAGGCTTGGAAGCAATACTAAGCCAGAGGTGAGAGTCTCGGAGATCTCGACTGGACTTAAAGAAGAACTGCTGGTTCTTGTGAGACATAAGCTCCTCATCAGAGCAGGACTGCAGAGTGATTTTGAGGGAGACAGATCCTCTATCCACAGAAATCCAATCACTGTAGAGAAAGGTCCATGTCTTGTGGCTCTGTAAGTCCTCAATAAGTATCCTTGATAAGTACCTGATTGCATAGCAAACAAATGTAACTTACTGTGGTTCTTTAAACAAGAAGCCCAAAGACCACAAGGCTCACCCTATCATTCAGCTTGGCCCTGGTGTTCTTCAGAATATTAGAAAAAAAAATTCTTTATTCCCATGAAAAATTTTTATCTCATATTGTGTTGACCCATATACTAGCCCCAAGTGTCTTGATTTAATCTAATTTGAATCCAAACAAAACGGGGGTGCTTCAATATCAATACAACTAACATGGCTTACTGTTCTAGAGAAGATTTTAAAGAACACCCCCCCCTCCAATACCCATGCATTAGATAAAATTTGACCCTATTTTAGCCCAACCTTAACCCAAGGTCCATAATTTGAAAGAAAAATTGAATTCACAAAAGTTAGGAATATTTGCATACTAATATGATCCAGTGGCAAATTTATGTTTCTATCCAATGTAAGATTTTGATCCCCTACCATGGCACTGACCTATAATATAAGAATTTCCCCCCTGTATAAATGCATCATGTTAAATTTGATTTCTGATTCTACCTGCAATCTATAGTACAGTTGGAATTCATAAGACTTGGAAATGTTTGTATATATTACTATGCCAAGTGGTTTTAGGAAAACATTTTAATTTTTTTTTTCTATATATTAAAAGGAAAATTAAAACCCCCTATTGCCCCCCCCCCCCCCAAACGGCCATAATTCAAACTGACTTATATGCACTACCTGAGTATGCATATTACTATGACTAATCATGACCCTCTTGTTCTTGAGAATTTAAAGATTTTTGTCCTATTTATTCACATTTAAAGTTTGAATTCTTATTGCTGCCCTAGCCTGCCCCCCGGGGGCCATGATTTGAAAAAAAAATTTGAATCTGCACTACCTGATGATTCTTGTATACTAATATGACTAATCACAGCCTTGCTGTTCTTGAGCCCTAGGGCCATAATTTGAACAATTTAGAATCTACACAAGTCAGGAAGCTTTCAAGGATGTTTTATCTCTTCTGGAACAGTGGTCACTGTAGAGAAGATTGTTCAGTATCCTCACCCTATTTTTGTCTTTTCTTGATTATCTTCCCTTGAAATGGGGGATGGTTCTTCTGATGAACACTTTGAAGTCCATCTACCCAAGAATGCTCTCTGGATGATTTTGGTTGAAACTGGCCTAGTGGTTCTTGAGAAGTTGAAAATGTGTAGGTTGAAGACAGACTGCCACAGGACGATGTGTGATCAGAAAAGCTTACTTGAGCTTATAGCTCTCACGAGCTAAATATTCAATGTATAGTATGCATGATATAGTATCCTTAGCCAAGATGAAAGGACAAGATTTGAAGAAATTATTGATATACAATTTTTTATGTATTTTAGATGGATTCACATTTTGTTATTTCCAGTTAAATTTGGTTAAAGTGCACATTTCACACATTTCAATGACATAATGTGGAGAAAAAATCACAGAAAAGTCTACTAAATATTACCAAATCTAAACAATGAGATTTTTTGTTTTGTTAATTTTTTAAGATTTTTTTTTATTTTGCAATTTTAGTGTACTTTTATAATAATATGACTAACCATGCAGGAGATTTTCCAGAATTGTCATGCCAGACAGACAGACTCTTGATGTCCCCTAAACTGTGACTAGTGGTAATCAAAAACCAGTCCTCAGACCCCGACATAAAGCACTGTCTCCCAGGAACAGACTCACTCAGGCAGTGTCTGGCACTGTGGCCCCGCGTCCCAGTGAACGACAGGCTGACGTTAGCCGTTGTTCCAGCATCCTTCCACCAACCAGTGATTACACAAACCAGGTAGGCATATTTGTTGTCTTGGTCATTCTCATGGGCCATGATTACTCCTCCCTGAAAAATCTTGACATACTGAGCCCCTCCTTCACCCTACCATTTGACCACCCAGAAAAAGTTCAATTTTTACTAAGTATTTAGAATTCAATTAAGGGAACATAACACAAACAAAAATTGGATGCCTGGATTGGTATATATTTTTTGACTGATTTTGAATAGAATTGACATAAATAATAAATCCCTAAAATATAAAGGAATCGTAAGTTTTCTTTGGTGCTTAAATATGCAACTTTATTTTGTTTTCTATGTAATTCTATATAAAATTTTGCATATATTTTTAACATCATTACAAAATCTTGGAAAATTCTCCCACTTTACCTGGTGAACATTATTCAGGATTGTGACGGTACATATTGTCGTTTTGTACATATTGTCGTCGGCGACAATATGTACCTACCCTCACTGCACATACTGTCGTCCATCGGTGCATATTGTCGCCGGCGACAATATGTTCCGAGACGAGCTTTATTTTTCTCCTGCATAATGGACGACAAAATGTACAGTCAAGCACCAGCACATATTGTCTTCGGCGACAATATGTACAGTCAAGGTCGGTATATATTGTCGTCGATATATTGTTTTGACGAATATTTACTTGAGAAAAGAAAGGGAAATTGACAAACATACACACGCACGGAGGGAGACAGACAGCATTACTCGCAATACTGTAGGGAGAAAACTTTTTGGTCAGAAAATTGTGTCCAGGATTGATGTACATCACTATGACATATCAAGATACCGTAAATCTTGAGATATCTGATAAATCAGCTATTCTTTTTTTCTTGTACTATATACTTGGAGATTGAATACAGGTATTTTTTTTTTGGTTCAGTAATAATGATTATTTGGAAATTATTCTTATATACGATCATGTGCCGATATAATATTATAAATATAATTTATTGTTAATAATAATATAAGAATAACGCAAAAAATAACATTTTTAGATCACCTGAATTGGAAGTTCAAGTGAGCTTTACTGATCACATTTTGTCTGACCGTCCGTCTGTAAACTATTCATAATTTCAGCTTCTTTTCAAGAACTACTGGGTCAATTTCAACACATTTTTACCAAAAACAAACAAAAACAAAATCAATTTTGTTCAAGTCATGACCCCAGGGGTAATGTGGGGCCACAATGGGTGATCAAAGTTTTACATAGGAATATATACAGAAAATCTTTAAAAATCTTCTCAAACACCAAAGACCCAGACAGATGTAGCCCCCCCCCTCCCCCCCCTCCTTTGCTTGGTGGTTTGATTTTTTTTTTTTTTTGCTTTGGTAAATTTTGTTTGTTTCACTTGTTTATACTTAGTCCACAGGTAAAATTTCATAATTAAATAATTAACTTAACATATACAATAACACTGATGGACGACAATATGCGCAGTGAGGGAAGGTACACATTGTCGCCAGCGACAATATGAACAGGATGACAAAATATACAATCACGCTGCAAGAAATAGCATACAAGACACGTCAGTGTGATTCTCACACCAATTGCATTCACAAAACTACCAAAAAACAGCAAAAAACACCTTTAAACAACAATATCTGTGGGGCGACAATATGTACAGTGAGGGTGAGGCACATAATGTCGCCAGCGACAATATGTATATATGTAACTTTTCAGTCGGCGACAATATGTACAGATGGACGACAATATGTGCAGTGAGGGTAGGTACATATTGTCGCCGACGACAATATGTACAAAACGACAAATTGTACCATCACAAGGATACTTATTTGAATATAAACATATGAGAAATATTGCTGATTTCTGAAAAAAAGTTTGTGTAATTTATCCTTAAAGAAAATTTTCACTTGTATTGTAGAAAAGTATTTAAGATGAAAGCTTACATATAAAAAGCATTGCTCTCCCCTCCTCCAAATTAACAGTGACCCTTATCTTCTGAGTTGGTGATATTTTCCAAGTGAAAAAGAACAAGAAGTCTCTGACAAGACTGTAGCTCTACTGTTGTGTACTTACGATAAAGATGTATCTTAGTATAGTCTACTTGTGTACCAAGTCTAATTGAAATCTGATCAAAACTGTAGTTTGAGTAGCATTTTGAAAGAATTTCAAACTAAATTCTGTTTTAGTAACCATGGCAACAAAGTTTGTCAAAATCAAAAACCACTAAATGGAATGATGTATCTTGGCATGGTCTACTTGTGTACAAAGTTTTATTGAAACTGGAACAAAACTGTATGAGTAGTTTTTTGAAAGAATTTCAAACATTTTTTTATTTTCAGTTTTATTATAGTTTTGAGATGATAGTGTAAATATAACTTTCATGATGACATTGTTCCAAAATTTTGTAGATTTTTTTAGTCATAGTTTATATAAGTATTTGGTATACTAGGTCAAGTAACCATGGCAACACCATTTGTCAAAATCAAAAAACGATATATATATATATATATATATATATATATATATATATATATATATATATATATATATAGAATTATGTATGTTAGTATAGTCTACTTGTGTAGCAAGCCTTATTGAAATTGGACCAAACCTGTATGAGAAGTGGCGTTTTGAAAAATTGCTTACAGACAGACGGATTGACACCTTACTATTGCATAAGCTCCTCTGAGATAAGACAGTCGGATGAAAAAAATATGGTAATTCAATTAATGCTTGATGTAGAATACCTCATTGCTTTTTAAAGCTGAATCTGAAAAGTTTCAGCAAGGAAAAACGAGTTCCTGACATGTTCTCCGCTCCTTACCCTGAACATGTCCCTCCTGTCTTGTTTAGTGGCCCAGGTCAAAAGTGTAAAGTAAATCAGCCAGATTATGAGGACAGTTGACACCACCACTGGGTTCGAGAAAAACGTCAGAAATAAGGCCACATCTCTGAAAGGGTCCACAAAGTTAGGCGCCACAAAGAAACTTCCCGAGAAAGCTGTAAGGTGATTACACTCACATTGTATTGTCTCAGGAGTTGTCCGTCTTCCTACCTGTAAATATGATATCTATGTCTCTACTTCATGTTTATTTTAAAATTGCCTACAATGGTTCAAATGTACACATGGCAACCATTTTGAAACATAATCCCATTAAGAACCAAATACTTGCATGAAAACAAACATTTATTTATTGCATCTTCCATAAGCAAGCACTTTCGAAACTATAAGCAAAGTTGAAAGAGTAGATGTAATACTGGACAAAATCTAGCAAAGATCTGATAAGAAATTTTTGTGTAAACTGTTTGTTGAGCAATGATCTGTATCTGTTTACCTGGCATCCATTTGAAGACCAAGCATCTCCAGAAACATTCCAGTACATACACACAGCAGAGTAACCCTGGATTTCCAGGGTCAAGGTCAATACACATGATGTCAAGGATAAACACCCTTTGTTTAACTCCTTATAGTTATCCATTGTTTGATCAATACAGAAACCAATTGATACGACTCCTGATGGTAAGGAAGTAAAGATGTGAGTAAAGTTGTTATATTTATTCAAGGAAATTCCAGAGGATGTGATGTCATAATGACTCACATTAGTACCATTCTGTATTTCCATAGCACTGATTGTAAGGTTAAATGTCAGAGGTTGTATGGTCAAGATGTTAGATCTTCCTTTCATGACATTTAAATTCAAAACCCGACAAAGATCATCCTGTGTGCTGTTAAAACTATCAAAACTTGCTGCATTGATGGTAAAATTCTCTTCAGATTTTTCTACAGTAGGATCTGTTGAAAGAAATGCTTGACTAAAACAATTCTGAATAAAATGAAAAGTAAAACTTTTCCACAGAACAGTCTTTCTTTGTAAAAAGAATCTTAAATGAATCATTCATCCCTTTTTTCTGCAAAACCCATTTCTTACCCATTCTATGAACTTTGGGTTCCCATGAAAAAAAAATCATGTTTAATTTTTGGACTGGTGACCAATGTGATTTTTGTGGAGAAAATTTTACTCTACTGATCAATAGGCAAAGCAATTGATTTTGTATTAAAAAAAATCACCCCCAATCAAGGAAACTACATATACTATACTAAACATATGAATTTCATAACCATTTGAAATTGGGCATAATTTTGCATATTTTCCCTAATTGCAGAATTTGCAATATTATTGTAGCCATGTATGAACATTTCTATATTTGAGAAATAGAGAATGTGGTACCTACTGGCATTGGAAATGAGTATTTGTACTGGATCCTTTAGATCTGTAACATTTATGATTTGTTGCTGGTCATTTCTCAGAGTCAGGGACACCATGGGTGTGGTCAGCTTATCTGATGAAAGGTCCCAAATGAAGGGATTCTTATCAGTTAGCATTACCTTCCAAACAAATGAAAATGATATCACAATGTGTAATTAATTCTTTCATCGGATATCACTGATTTTATGTTTAGAGAGGTGATTTATTTTCATGCAATAAATGTTAAGCAGAGTACAAAATCCATCTGTAGGGTTGTATGCAGACATTTACAATTACAAAAAAGAACTATCTATAATGTTAAGAAATCATGTCAAGCAAGATGAGTTCAGGGTTACCTGAATGCTTGCATACGATGTATTACTCAACAAGGAAGACAACTTGCTATCTGCTGGAATTGTGAAATCCCCAGAGTCATTCCCCCTGTTTAAGGTCAATTTTTTCCTTGCTAGCTGTGAGGGGGAAGCCTTAGATAGAGCTATGTTCATTTTACTGGTGGTAAACACAGAGGGTTTGGTATCCGGCTGGATAAACTCCATCATAACATCAGTGATTGTATCCACAGTCCCAAGCAGCTTCTCCGCTGAACTTTTTATCTTTAAAGAACAAGAATAGCACTATTATTGTAAATATGAGTTTTTGTGGACTTGCTATTAAGAAGTGTTTCTCAGATGTTTTTTCTATACTCTATTACGTAAAACTTTGAGCCCTAATTTTTTTCCCACTCTACTTCCCAATGTTTGCATGCATATCAAGTGATTTAATGTGGCTTTGCTACTCTTATAAATACTACCATATCAAACTTTTATCCCCGATTTTGACCCATCCCAGCTGATTTGACGAAAAAATACCTACAATACATGGATATGCTTGCATAATAATGACTGATCAAAGTCCTGTTGTTCTTGAAACAAAGACTTTAGAGATATCCTATATATTCCATGTTAATACAGTTGAACACCAATATCTCAAATACTAAGCAAGTTAAAAGACCAACCCATTTTTCTTTTTTGTAATTGAACCTTGATACCTCATATCATGATATATTAAAGTTTTTCTCCATCCAATTGGGTTCCAGATACCAAGGTTTTACTGTATTTAATCCCCATTAAATGTGCCCTTAACCTACATCTGGAGACACATGTACATGATTTGAATCAACTTGAGTCTGCATTATTTTGGAATGCTCTGTACATTAATATGACTACATGTAATTGTGGCCCTACTATTCTCTCCCACAAGATTTTTATACCCCCATAATCAAAGAGTTGGGGCCATATAGTTTTTGCCCTGTCCGTCTGCCTGTTTGTCCTAAAAGACTTTAACCTTGCCCATAACTTTTGACTTGTTGGAGCTATGACTTTCATATTTCACATGTGTATTCCTTGTAACAAGGCATTCTTTGGGTACCAATTTATTTGACCTTTGGACTTTGACCTTGGAGTTTGACCCACTTTTGCAGAATTTTACCAAACTTTAGCCATGGTCATAACTTTTGAACTGTTAGTGGTAATGCTTTCATATTTCACATGTGTATTCCTTTTGATGAGACCTTTCCTGGGGTACAGATATATTTGACCTTGAAGTTTTACCTACTTTCTAAATACTTTAACCTTGGTCATAAGTTGAGTGGTTGGTCATAACTTCTGAACTGTTAGTGCATGGTAATGCTTTCATATGTGTATTCCTTTTGATAAGACCTTTCCCGGGGTACAGAAATATTTGACCTTGAAGTTTGACCTACTTTCTAAATACTTTAACCTTGGTCATAATTTTGAATGGTTGGAGCTAGGGCTTTTATATTACACATATGTATTCCTTGTGACAAGACCTTCCCTTTGGTACCAACAATTTTGACCTTTTGATATCATACAGGTGATAATTTTTAGACCCAGATATTGTACAGGAGTCTTCAATATACTGGAATTTATGTGAAAATACCGTACACTGTTCATCAAAAAACTGTACAAAATATCGACCAAATATCAAAGCAAGAGGTTCATTTTTTAATTATAAATTTCAAATCAGCGAACAAGTGTACCACTGCATGCAGTGTTATATGTAATTACTCATTTCAAGAAACTTTTGCACGTTTTTGAATTTCAACAATCCCCATGATCAATGCTGAATTTGGTCTTGCTAGTTCCCAATTGTAACATCTAAATACAGGCTCAAACGCAACACACCTGTCATTTTAGTGTGTCATTTGCTGGTTCCCAATGTAATGCCCATTTTCAAACATGATTCACGTCTTTCCAGTGTCATTTGCTGGTCCCCAGTGTAAAATCCTTACTCACACTCACTCAAACCTTACCTGTCACCACAGTGTGTCATCTGCTTTTTCAGAGTGTATTGCCCATACTTTGCATAATTCACCTCTCTTTATTTAGAGTGTCATTTACTGGTCCTGAGTGTAATGCCCATACTCACTCATCTAACCTGTCTTTCTAGTGTGTCATTTGCTGGTTCCAAGTGTAATGCCCATACTCACTCAACATACCTGTCTTTCTAGTGTGTCATTTGCTGGTCTCGAGTGTAATGCCTCATACCCTGACTTGGTCTTGGTGTCCAGTAACATAGTTATTCCTTCCAACAGTAGCCTGAATGTTTACATTGATGTTAATTATCAAAATCTCTCATGTTTACAAAACACAATATAGCACTAAAAACTCAACAATTTACAGAATTACTGGGGTTCTTACAAGCAATGCAAGTTATGCAACACCATAAAAAATTGTGAAATGCAAATTTATGCTAAACTAGAAATATGTCCATATGACACGAATGCCCCACCCAAGGTATATTTGTTTTGCAAGATGAAAAGGAATGTACCTTGATTCTTTGGGTCTGACCTTAAATTCACACAGAACTAATATCTACAGTATAGTTGTTGTCCTTTATAGTAAGGTATGAAGTGTTGATTCATCCAATCTGCTATAAAATCACACATTTGTGTGGGATCAAATTTTAGAGGTTTGAGGAAAAATATTGGTTTGGATTTTGTGGCTAAATAAGTGCTAGAAAATTTTATATATTTTGTGGAAGACATGAAAACAAGGGTTTCTTCATACCACAAAAGCAACAAAAATTAAACCTCCATGAAAAATAAGTGATTTTCACAGTATCATCTAACAGCTAAATGAAGTCTCATTGTTTCAAGTTCATTCTGTCATATTTAGTAAAAATTTATACCTGTATGATCTCTAAAGTTTGCACGGTTAAAATGCTTTTTCAGAGATTAACTCATTTTATGAAGTAATCCTTTATGGAATTAAATAAGATGAACTAAGAGCAACCTGAATTTGAGAAATTTTGATCAATATGAAAAAGTTGTACATGTATTTGCAAAATTTACAGATTTCTCAACAGGTCACTGAAGTATACAGAAAAAGCAAAAGGAACACTAAGGGCGAGATCATATGAAGGTCAAGGTCAGAAAATTATGATGCAGTTGAATATTTTCCACCAATGTGTATCAGTGTACGAGTTCTTCAATACTTACTTCAAAACTGAGCTCGAATAATAAAATCAAGGTCAGTGGAAAGGTCAAGGTCAGAAAATAATGCTTCATTGGAAAGCTCTCACCAAAATGTTTCAGTCTGAATTTTGGTTATTTAAAAGTGTCTTTGAAACTAGGCTTAAATCATAATTGTGATGGACAGACGTAGGAAAGTACAGGAGGACAGAAGACATACACGACAAACACTATATCCCTGGCCATACTCAAGGCTGCCATTGGCCGGGCATAATAAATGGCTTTCTAATTTAAGGATACATAACACAAACAAAAATCTGATGCCTGGATTGATATATATTTTTGGACTGATTTTGAATAGAAATAACATAAATAATCAATCCCTAAAATATAAAGAAATCGTAAGTTTTCTTTGGTGCTAAAATATGCAACTTTCTTTTGGTTTCTATATAATTCTATACAAAATTTTGCACATAATTTTAACACTGTGACAAAATTTTATAAAATTCTCCCATTTTACACAGCAAACATTATTCAGGTTACCTATTTGAATATAAATCTACGAAAAATATTGCTGATTTTGAAAAAAGTTTGTTTGTGTTATTTATCCTTAAAATATGTAGTTTATAACTAGAAGCATGTAAACTGATTAATGCAAAACATTTCGACAAACTTAAAAAAAATTATATGATAGGAGACATTAATTTAAGTGTCTAAGACGTATCAGTTTTACCCTGCTGTGGCTTCAGCTGCACTCTGTGTGACATTCGCTGATTGGGTTGAGAAAGCTGTAGTCATTCCATCATATAATGCTAATGCTTTGTCCTAAAACCATACAAATATTTGTTGTGTTAAAATGTTAACACAATTTTGTGTAAATATAACGAAACCTGAATCTTTTTTGTTTGCCAATACTTAATCAGAAGACTCTGACGAGACTGTAGCTCTACCGGTTTGTACAAATAACAAAGGAAGAGAAAAGTAGCACTTGGACTTGAAACTACAGCAACAGGAATAAACAGATTAATTATCCTTAGTTTAGTCTCTTTTTGAGGCAAGTTTAATTGCAATCAGACTAAAACTGTAGGAGGAGGAGTCTTTTGAATGAATTTCACAGAATTTTCTATTCATTGAACATGGAAACACCTATTTCAAAATCATAAAACAATTCACAGAATCATGTATCTTACTCTAGACTACCTGTGTGGAGGGATTCAGGGGCTGACAAATCCCATTGCCCGACGCCTGGGGCTAGTGAATTTTAGAGGCGGGCAAGTGAATTTTTAATAGGCACTTGTCCATGGGCAAGTAACTTTAAAAAATCAATCCATAATTTTTTTTAAAAAATGTCCTAGTTTTACACGAAATCGAAACTATTTTGTCGTAAGAGTTATCCTCCTTTGCTTGTCACACTTCAATAATGATCTTTATTCATTACAAGTCTTACAGAAAGTTTAAGTGAACCGAAAGAGACAAATTGGCATTGGAGAAATGGAGAAAGTTTAAACAAATATGCTGCAGAAAAACGATCAGAGCTGATGATAAGTACATCGTCAACACTCCTAGTCTGGTTAGTAACGATGTTAGCGAAAGACCCGAAAAATAGGTCTAAGCATACAAAGTATGAGAAAGAAAAACAACGGAAACAATTATTCCTACCAAATGGCAAAAGGCTTGTGTATGGCTGAATTACAATAGCGACACGAATAGTAAGTTACTTTGTACTTTTTGGCGGTAGTTTTCAACTGTCACCAATATTCAGAACAACACAATCAAGGTTGCACATCGGTGATTCTTAGCTTAAAATCTATTTGTCAGCCCCTGGGATTTATTGAAATCAGACAAAAACTGTAGGAGGAGTAGCCTTTTAAAGAAATTCATAGAAATCTCTTTTTTTAGTAACCATGGCAACATCATTCATCAAAAACTGATTGACAGAATTATGAACCTTAGTGTTGTCTACTTGTGTACAAAGTTTTATTGAAATTAGACAAGAGGCCCATGGGCCACATCGCTCACCTGAGCACTTTGGCTAGAGAAAAGAAGAAAAAGTTCAGTATTGAAACTTTTAAATGTATAAATGGTTGCCTTGCATATGGCCCCACAGTAGCCCTGTGGGTCTTAATTTTAACAAACATGAATCTACACTACCTTAAGATGCTTCTATAAAAATATGATTTCATGGTTTTTTGCTGTTCTTGAGAAGAAGATTTTTAAAGGTAAACCTATACATTCATATGTAAAACTTTAATCGCCTGTTGTGGCCCTGTCATGGTTCTGATGGTCATGATTTGAACAAATATGAATTTACACTATGTAATAAAGTTGCCACATAAGTTTTATCTTTTCTGGTCCAGTGGTAATTGAGAAGATTTTTAAAAGATGCCATTAAATTTTCACTAATTCTTGATTAGTTCCCCTTAAAAGAGAGCATCGTCCTTCATCTGAACATTTAAATTCCCTTCATCCTTTGTGGCAAGTTTGATTGAAAATGGCCCTGTGCTTCTTGAGAAGAAGTCAAAAATGTAAAAAGTTTACAGATGAATGCCAGAAAACGTTTATTCAGAAAAGTTCACTTGAGCCCTTGGCTCAGGTGAGCTAAAAACTGTATGAGGAGTAGTTTTTTTGAAAGATCAATTGTTTATTGAAATTTAAAGAAAAATAAACAGAATCATGTATCTTTAGTTAGTGTAGTCTACATGTGTTTTATTGAAATCAGACAAAAACTGTAGGAGAAGTATGTTTTCAAAGAATTTTACAGAAATTCTTATTTTTAGAAACCATGGCAACATCATTCATAGAAATCAAAAACTGATAAAGAGAATTATGTATCTTAGTGTAGTCTTCTTGTGTACCAGTTCTATTGAAATCATATCAAAACTTTAGGCGGAGCATAGTGAAAAATTGTTTACAAACAGACTGACAAATAATGGACACCTTACTATCACATAAGCTCTTCTGGTCTCTGACCAGTAGAGCTAAACACAGGTTTATTACACTTCAATTTCAGCAAAGTAACATTTTCCCTGGGTCTAAAACAACATTTATTCAGTTTCAGATTGTTTTTCTTTTTTGTTCTAAAACAAACATTTTATGTCTCAGATCATTTTCCTTCATGGTCTAAAACAAACATTTCTTGTCTCATATCTGTTAAGCAGAGTTTGAAATTAAAAAAAGTCTCCATCCCCGACCTGAGTTTCTTCTGACAGTTCCTCCTGAACCTCCGTGGCTGTGTTAAGAACACTGGTAATGGCATTAATGTTGATACTCTCTGGGGGACCTGTTGACGAGTTGACTAGCACTGCCACAAGTGCACCACGGATCTGAAATCAGAGACAACTCTAGATCTCAACATTATCCCAAAGGAGTCCAAAGTCTGTGACTATGGTACTACTTAATTTCACAAATTACAAATGACTTAGCATTTTTTAAAGCAATAAATTTACATCCATCGAACATCATAAAGGCAGAATTGCTGTTTAGGCTTAAAGGAAGTGTGTTTCCGACCCTAGTTTTTACCCACCTACCCTACTACTTTTTATTCCAAATCCTAATTTTGAACCATATTTTTGTCCATTAGTTCAGTTTCCTCATACTGCAGTCAATAAAATGCATGTCTCAGACAATGTGTGTGTCTATATCCAAGTGTTTTAAAGAGTACACTTGTTGTGTGCATTTATTCATATATGTATATACATATATATATATATATATATATATATATATATATATATATATATATACTGTATTGAAAAATGCACCAACTCTTTCAAAATAAAAAGAACAGTTTTAAAAAGTTATCTCTTACCCATCTACCTTTAATTTTTTTTGGCATGTCACTAGAAACTTATTTTTTTATTTGGCCCCATTTGAGAAGCATTTAACACTTTTCTTCTATATCGTTGATGGTTAACTGTTTCATGGCTCCTCCATCAATGTAAGGTAGAATGTAAAAGGTGAAGAACTAATCAATAATACAATATTTTACTTTCTTTTGCCCACTTAAAAAAATATATAAAGATAAATATATGTATAAATATGAACATTAAAATGTCTTTCTTTGTTCGTGTATACGGGCGATAATAAATATCAGTTGTAATGACTTCAGAAAAAATTACATAATCCTCTTATGCAGGTTTTGTATAGTTTCTGCAATGTTGCAACAGTGTCCCAGAATAAATAATGAAAGCATTCCCTTCTTTAAATCAATACTAAATAAAACTTTGTTTTCCAATTCCAATTAATGCAATATCAAATATTAAGTCTTACTAACATATTTTTGTTGCAATTATGGAACAGAATACCGGTACATATATGCTTTAAAGGAGTCAAAGAATTTACCACCTGAATATTTGTAATCAAGGTGTAAACTTATTACACCTTACTTTCTCGAGAAAGTGAATACAAAGGTGAACAGATGTGATTTAGAAACACACAATACCTTAAATGACAAGTCCTCAAGACTTAATTGGTCAATATTAATTTGTGGCCAGACTAGAAGGCAGCCTGAGGACTACATGTGAGGAAGAAAAAGTTACATTTATGGTGTGTTTATGTTGTAATTATGTTTACCTCTGTACGCTGTTTTTGTCTGTGTGAATCTCCTGGAGTCGTTTTAACATCTTTATTTAAAGTCACCACTGAGGACCTTAGGACTTGTGTAACAGCTGTTCAAAAAGTTCCAAAGCTTTATTTTACTTCAGATGATAACTTAATTAAAATAATATAAAATTTAACAATGAATAGAGAAATAAAATCAAATTTTTACACAAAATTTACAAAAGAATGTTTGACGAGCATATTCAGAGAATTGTGGTCCCTGCTTTCAGTGTCTTAGTGGTTGGGATTATTTATGGCATACTATAACTGTCTTGTCTCTCTGTCCTGTCTTGTCTGTCCATTATAAACTAGATGTGTTGTATTGCCATGAATGCCCCTCCAGGCACCCAAATTTTAAATGCCATTTTTAGTTTTAAATTTGTATTCTAACTTGACCTTACTTTTTGGTAAAATACCTGCATATGCAATTTCAACTTTACACATACATCCTTAGAAAAGTTAGAGAGTGGAAACAGAAAAATTCTTATTTTTTCTAAGTTCAAGAGGGATAACTCTGTCAAAAATCATCAAACCATGACCTAATTTGAACTTCAGACCTGCATATTCCTATGGCGTATCCATATGTCAAATTTGAGTTGAATGTGTGCAACTGTTGCAGAGAAAATGAACGGAAAGTCAATGATGATGGAATGACAGAATGACAGAACAGGGTAACACTATATGCCCCCTGCCATTGTACGGCGGGGGCATAAATATATATAATCAAGATTTATGAAGCAAAAAATTTTCATCCAGTGGAAGAATGCAAGAAATTGTCCATTTCTGCCTTCATAACAAGTACTTTCACTGGTTTTAAAATGATAAAAAATTGAAGTGTATAGGTAAAAGTATTGATAATATGCCAAATTAAATTTTAAAAGTTCAATTGATGATGAATATTTCAGATATACTTTGTTATTTTTATAACTGACATGACCTGACTGTTTCCCAGCAGCAAGAAGATCATGAAGGATTCCTGTAGAAGTGGAGTTTCCCAGCACACTCTCTGATATCACATCAATAGCATCCAAACTCTCGTCTGGATTTCTCTCCAAAGGTTGTATCTAAAATTGTTTTAACACTGAAAATGACCTCATTTCATTCTTTAATATAATGTTACAAATCATAAACAGGTGACTTGGAATTTGTATTTAACAAGATGACAAAAATTTACAATCTATTCTATTTAAAATAATTAAACCAATGTAAACCTCATTCTTATTCCAGATATGAGATACATGTACAATGACTTTTTTCAGAATTTCATAAACAGAAATTGAAAAAGAAAGAAAACAAATGCTACAATTCCATAATTAGAATCTCTGTGAGACTAGTTCTACAGGGGAGATGATCAAGAGTGGCAAAAATAGGTTGGGGTTCATTTAAAGAACCACTGGACTACAAAAGACTTAAGTAAAAGATTTCTGGCAAAGTGTACATTCAAGTTTTATTCAAAACATGACCCCCTGGGAAAGGAAGGAGGCCAAAACAGGGGATAAAAGTTTTACATTGGAATATATAGAAAAACAAAGGCTCAAGGGCCTTGAATCGCTCTTCAAATAAACAATACGTGTCACTGTGACCTACTTCTGAATTAGCAAATCTCTGACTTTAAGGCACCAAAATGCATCAACTGAACAGATTTGATGATTTTAAGCCTATTGGTATCTAAAATATTCTTGACAAAATGTTTTAATAATGAATAACTCCAAAATTCAGGAAAGAGGTGATTTTGACACACTAAAGCCTCAAAATGTATCAATTAACTGACAAGGTCTGATGAACCTAGGCTACACAATTTCCAAGATAGCATCTCCAACAATTTGAACATGAATAACTTTCAAATTCAAAAAGTAGGTCATTGTGACCTAATTTTGGGTCAACATATCCTGAGGTCTTTTATAAGATGCATCAACTGAAAAGGTTTGATACATGTAATCCAAAGCCTCATGGTGTCAAATGATACACAGATTTAACAATAAAAATGATGAAATGCAAAAAGTAGGTTGTCTACTTTAGGGTTAACATGTCTTGAAGACCTCAGATGCATCAACTAACAAGATTTGATGATCCTTGGCCTCCTAGTGTCAAAGATATAAAGATTTTATGATGTATAATACCAAAAAGCAAAAGGTTTGTCATATATCTTGAAGTCTGAACCCCCATCAACTGACAAGATTTGATGATCCTAGTCCTAATAGTGGGAAAAATATGTTTTATTAAAACATTGTCATTTTAGGTTAACTTTGAAGTGACCTTGAGACCACTCCCTTTGTCCCAGGGTGATGCCTACAAAATTTTTAGTCTAAAACATCCTCATCCTTATATGCAAGTTTGTTGATAATCTGTCCAGTGGTTCTTAAGAAGATTTTTAGCAACCACATATTTTGTTTTCATTTCTCTAATTATCTCCCCTTGTTTAAGGGTCACATCCCAATTTTTAGAACATAAATGAAAGCCCTTGGCCAAAAGATACTCTGTGACAAAGAGCAATATGTGTTATATGCATATTTTTGCCCCCATGCATAAAAGTCAAATTTTTAAAATTTTTTGAAATGTGCTAAATTTTATATATTGTTTGAAAAATCTTATTTTAACAAAAAGTATTATAGTTTCGAAGTAGTTTTTGGGGCAAGTTTTGTTTCTATGACGTCATAAACTATTTGGATTTAAGAAATAAAGTCTGTGTTATCGTGAATGTTGCAGGATAACCTCGAGTCGAGAAAGGTTGTTTGAAATATAAAAGCCAAGGCGTTAGCTGAGGCTTTTATATTTCAGACAACATTTTGAGACCGAGGAGGTTATCCTGCATCATTCACGACAACAAGGACTTTATTTCTATTCTACTAACAGCTCTAAAATATGGCTGATCGTTTCTTCTATAGAGAAAGGTCACCATGTCATGATTTCGTTGTTCCATTTAACACCAGAGGGTCAATTTGTTTGTTTACTTGTGTATCGATTGCATAAAATGCAGACAATTTCAGCTTTTGTAGGATTAAAAATATCCTTTAATTATTTATAAATTTGTTTGTAAGATTTATTGATTAATTTTTATGAATGTAAAATAACAAAATCAGTTGTCTTTTTCATTGTTTTATCTGGAAAATCACGGAGTGTAAATGTTGTGGGGAGGTCCGTGGAACAGCCCGACTTGGCTACAAAAACGGATATTTATCAGCTGTTTCGGGCAATATATACTGTTTAGACTGCGTAAGATGACACATCGATATGGTCTAAATAAGTATTAGATTCTACAGTGAAATATCTATAATTTCAACTGTACAGGCATGTGTTTCTGATCTGATAATTTTTTGATGATGTTCGTGATTTATTGGAGAATAATGTCCGCGGCATTTCTTTGATCTCGTCAATAATTGTGGTAGAATTTGCATTATTTTCCAGAAAAAGGACAAAATGGACAAAATTTGTTCAATTTTTACTGTATAATTTATAGATCCCAAACCTGCTCCATAACAATATTCACATATTTCATTGATATTTTCATTCTACATGGTATATCAAAACATTGAGTTGGAGCAGACCTGTGCTCGGTGACTTTTAGTCAAAATATTGATGTAAAGTACACCTTTTTCTCTGTAAATCATGGAAATTTTGAATTTATGTCATATTTCTGACGTCATATGTAACATATGATGTCATGGCTGGTGAAAAATTTAATGCTTTGAAGTCCACAGATATCCCCCTATTTTAGAACATAATTATAGATTTCTCCATCAAAGTTTGATTTTGGGGGTAAATATTGGTCATTAACGAATAAAGTCCTTTGACAAAAATTGGTCAAGGAGTTCTTCAGATATGGCCCAAAAAGTTGACTCACACAGCACAAATGGCCATAGCAATAACTCTTCGAGCCTTCGGATCAGAAGAGCTAACAATAGGCTCATGGGCCACATTACTCACTTGAACACATTGGCTAGGGAGAAGCAGAATCAATTCAGTGTTGAATGGGGTGTGTGTGTTGGGGGGGGGGGGGGGGAGGTTAAATTTACACTACCTTAGGATGCTTCTATATCAATATTACTAATCAAGGCTTACAAAAACATACATCTTAGTTATGTATTTACCTGTACAGTAATGGGTGTGGCTGACATCAAGCCTTGACTGTCCATACATTTCATGACTACATCTTAATTACGTCGTTACATGTACAGTAATGGGTGTGGCTGACATTAAGCCTCCACTGTCAAAACATTTCATGACTACATCTTAGTTATGTTATTACCTGTACAGTAATGGGTGTGGCTGACATTAAGCCTTGACTGTCCATACATTTCATGACTACATCTTAGTTATGTCGTTACCTGTACAGTAATGGGTGTGGCTGACATCAAGCCTTGACTGTCCATACATTTCATGACTACATCTTAGTTATGTCATTACCTGTACAGTAATGGGTGTGGCTGACATCAAGCCTTGACTGTCCATACATTTCATGACTACATCTTAGTTATGTCATTACCTGTACAGTAATGGGTGTGGCTGACATTAAGCCTCCACTGTCCATACATTTCATGACTACATCTTAGTTATGTCCTTACCTGTACAGTAATGGGTGTGGCTGACATTAAGCCTCCACTGTCCATACATTTCATGACTACATCTTAGTTATGTCCTTACCTGTACAGTAATGGGTGTGGCTGACATTAAGCCTCCACTGTCCATACATTTCATGACTACATCTTAGTTATGTTGTTACCTGTACAGTAATGGATGTGGCTGACATTAAGCCTCCACTGTCCATACATTTCATGACTACATCTTAGTTATGTCGTTACCTGTACAGTAATGGGTGTGGCTGACATTAAGCCTCCACTGTCCATACATTTCATGACTACATCTTAGTTATGTTGTTACCTGTACAGTAATGGGTGTGACTGACATTAAGCCTCCACTGTCCATACATTTCATGACTACATCTTAGTTTGTTACCTGTACAGTAATGGGTGTGGCTGACATTAAGCCTCCACTGTCCATACATTTCATGACTACATCTTAGTTATGTCATTACCTGTACAGTAATGCGTGTGGCTGACATTAAGCCTCCACTGTCCATGCATTTCATGACTACATCTTAGTTTGTTTGTTACCTGTACAGTAATGGGTGTGGCTGACATTAAGCCTCCACTGTCCATACATTTCATGACTACATCTTAGTTATGTCATTACCTGTACAGTAATGGGTGTGGCTGACATTAAGCCTCCACTGTCCATACATTTCATGACTACATCTTAGTTTGTTTGTTACCTGTACAGTAATGGGTGTGGCTGACATTAAGCCTCCACTGTCCATACATTTCATGATTACATCTTAGTTATGTCATTACCTGTACAGTAATGGGTGTGGCTGACATTAAGCCTTGACTGTCCATACATTTCATGACTACATCTTAGTTTGTTTGTTACCTGTACAGTAATGGGTGTGGCTGACATTAAGCCTCCACTGTTCATACATTTCATGACTACATCTTAGTTTGTTACCTGTACAGTAATTGGTGTGGCTGACATTAAGCCTCGACTGTCCATACATTTCATGACTACATCTTAGTTATGTCATTACCTGTACAGTAATGGGTGTGGCTGACATTAAGCCTCGACTGTCCATACATTTTACAGCCAGTCTCTGTGTGTAGTTATCCTCTTTTGGGCCTTCACTCAGATATAAAGGAGAAATCAATGCCTCATCAGACTTCATCAGCTCTGTCTCCTTACCTACAGTTTAACCAAAGTCAGTTCTATGTACACTGCTTAAAATATCCTTACAAAGCTCACCTCTATTAGTAAAGAAAAGTCTCACACCAAATGAGTATTCTAATAGTACACATCCCAATATGCAACAGTCAGGCAAGTTTGGTCTGGGTACTGTAGATTCCTTATTTTTGCGAGTACTTATTTTTGCGAAATGACTCTTTGACGTCAATTCGTGAGAACAATAATTCGCGAGTGGACGGTTGATCAAGAGATTTTACATTGATTTCAGGACCATAAAAATAAAAGCGAGTAATTTTATTTCGCGAGTGGTGCTTCTCGCATAATTACGTGATAATTAATTCCTCGCGTATATTTAGGAATCTACAGTACTACTAGCAACTTAAAATTACTTGGGATAAAATCTGTTCAGAAACTTTAACCTGTTTAATCATCCAGAAAATGAAGGTCAGAAGCAGCATTCGAAGCAAGTCTGATAGTTTACATTTCTTGATGAATCATACAGGCAAGTTTGCTCCATGTAAAAGCTAATAATTATTTTAGAATCGACCTGCTCATTAAACTTTAATCTTGATGCAAATGATATGGATATATATAGCTTTGAGATAAAAATGTTTAATATAATTATGAAGGATTACAGTTGACATATTACAAACGTTAATTTTTAATTCATTAACAGGCCATACCTAGAACTCTTTAGAAATGAAAAGAATTTTCGTCCAAAAAGTCACTTGACAGACTGAGAGGGACTAGGGAAATAACTTAAGCCATACAAACAAAAGTAAATTAACTTACAGTGTGGACTGAGAATACATATGATACAGATATACAGTAAAACACGGTTATAGCAAAGTTCTGGGGACCTGTGAATTTACTTTGCTAACACATGTATTCCTTATTTGTTATATCCGTATAATGAATTCGTTAAAGTATATATGTATAGCAAATTCGCAATATGGATTTTTTCCCTTCAAGTATGACTAAAAATGTATTTAGGGAAGTAAAAATACAAAATTTACCTTGGACTTCAAAAGTTTTGGGATGAATTGAGTTTCAAATATGAATGCTTACAAAATTAATATCAGTTCAAAATTTTAAAAATTGAGATCTTTGAAAATTTGCTATAAAAGATATACATTTCATTATTTTTAACTTCTAGGGAACACAAAATTAGTTCGCTATTACCATAAATTCGCTATATCCGAGTTTGTTATAGCCATAACATTTTACAAGGAATTGTTAGGAATTTCGCCAGGGATTGCAAAAAACTTCACTATCCGTAAATTCACTATGTCTGTGTTCATACTAAGCGAATTTTATTGTATATGATAAAGAATGCCCAAAATGTATCAACTGACAAGATTTGATGATTTAGATTTAATCCACACATGACTTATGTAAACCTATAAAATTCTAATAAAAGTTCTTAGGAAACAGATAAGTGTAAGTTCTACAACTTGTTCTCAAATCCTTTTTGATCTTCCTGTACTATGTGCCGCATTTTCTGCCTTTTATTTTTCAATAAAATATGGTTTAAACTAAAATTCTAAAAATGAGGCCACAGTATTTTCTGCTATTGCTCACTATATCTCATATCTTTTGACAAAGGACAAATTCTTTCTGAAAATTTTTTATTTATTTTATTACTTGATTTTCTTTGTTCAACTCTTCTCCCTTTTACAGAAGAGTCCTGATTAAAAAAAGCAAAGCCCATGGGCCAAAAGGCTCAGCAGATTCTTTTTCCTATATGTTCCGAAGTAAAACTTTGATCCCCCATTGTAGCCCCACCCTACCCCCACAGGTCATGATTTGAACAAATTTGAATCTGCACTACCTGAAAATGCTTCCATATAAATATGACTGATAATGGCTTTTCTGTTCGAGCTTTGTCCAAGACATACACATGTAATGTACAGGGTTTGACATTAACTTCTACAAGTACTAGACCAGTCAGGCTACTTCCCGTAATTTTTACTAGCCCTAACTATAAAATCACTAGCCCTGACCACACTTGCAAATTTACTTCTTATAATCGAGAAATTTAATGATTTGAAAAGCGGGGGTATATAGTGATGGGGGTGTCTGTCTGTCTGTACATCCGTCTGCTATGCTTTGGGGTATATATCTTATCTGCAACTCCTCTTATACCACTGAATAAAATTTAATGATACTTTCACAGAATATTTGTTACATAGTGCCATTGTGACCTCCTATTTTACTTATTGATCGGACACATATTTTTGGTTTCCAATGGCAAAACACAGACAACACCGTTCTTCCTATAATATTGAGGGGTACTCATCTCTTATCCACAACTTCTCCTATCCCATTGAATAAAATTTAATGATACTTTCATAGAATCTTTGTTATATCATGCCATTGTGCACCTCCTATTTTATTTTTTGATTGGACACATATTTTGGGGGTCCAATAGAAATAGGACTTTGCCATTATAAACATATGGGAGGCAGAGGGTATCATTTTGTGAGCTCAGTGCATATAGTTCTTCTAGTTTTTAAATTACCCCTCCCAATTTTTACTATTTCTCAATTATCTCCCTTAGTAAAAGGGTGTAGCCTTCATTTGAACAAACTTGAATCTCTTTTACCTAGGGATACTCTCTGTCGAGTTTATTTGCATTTGGCCAAGTGCTTCTACAGAAGAAGATGAAATTGACAATGCTAATGACAACAACAAAAGAAACTGACAAATTTTAATCAGAAAAGCTCACTTCAGCCTTTGGCTCAGGTGAGCTGAAAAGTAATTCTTAAATGGCCTATTTACCTGAAGACTGTCTCTGATAGATAACATAAGACAGAGGGAGATCTGGGTCAGTAAACCCCCGACAGGACACATTGAATGCTGTCACTAGGGAGTAACCAGACTGGGGGGTGATGGTGCAGTTTCCCTGGGTTGGGGGTAGGTTCACAGTCAGGTTATATTGCACTGTCATATTCCTGCCACTGAGAGAGGTTCCTAATAAATACACAGGACAATCATTCATTTTCTTAAACAAATGTTGTCTGAATAAAAAGAGACTGTAACTGTTACAATTAGAAAGTGATTACAATTGTTTTCTCCTTCTCTATCAATTCCTTTTTTAACAATCAAAATCGATAAATTTAAATCTTTATTTTGAGGAAACTGACATCATCTAATTAAAAAAAAGTTGTTTATAGAATCAAATACAAACTGCATTTCTGTTCATTATATAATTATACACACATACCTGTATAGAAGATTTGTTGTTGTTCAAAGCTCTCATTAACAGAGATACTAAAATTAGAACCATTCTGTGGAGGACCAATCAGCACGTCACACTGAGTCCCACACCCATACACAGTCCAGGTATGAGATCGACAGGAATCACAGAGACTCTGTAGTAGCAGGGTCTGTCCAGGTACAGCCTTATCTTCACAGTTAGACAGGCAGCCAATCACAGGATTTACCTTGTTACATACAAAATGACAAGTTCTTCTAAGAACTCTACTACATTTTAAAACAAAAGAACTTTAAGACCTAGTAAATTAAATTATGTGTTTCCAGACTGACCCTAATTTATAGGAACCGAACCTAAACATTCTTCTTAGTACATTTTGCAGAAGTAAACAATTCCTGTTTCACAAATAATGGCCTTTTTTGCTTTTGAAAAAAAAAACACAGATCCTATACTCATTCATCAGAATTGATTTGACAGTGACTCCCCCCCCCCCCCCCAAAAAAAAATGGCATCATGCTTGACAATTGTAAGCCACTCTATTAAACAGAAAGAAGTGAACTTTCTTTCTCTTAAATGTTGTTTATAGTTGAAGTCTGATTAAACAATAAAATGTTAAAACAAAATAAATTGTTTTCCCTACATACCTACCCTATTTATTCAGGTTGGAATAGGAAACACTATATTTATTTATCTAGGCCTAAGCACAAATATTTACCCAACTTTTCTAGAAAATTACATTTGTATGAAATCTCTCATATATGTTCTTTATTCTAGACACATACTTCTATGCTCAGTGCCATTTTATCACACACACCTTGTATATATCACTTGTAACTTCTACATATGATAAAAATATCTTGATTTGTTTATTTACAACTGAGCTACACACAAATTTGAGAAAAGTAAGGTCAAACAAAGGTCTAAGTCAGAAATGTTGATGCAATTGAATAACTCTCATCAATATGTATAAGTATATGAAGTTTGATAGAAAAAAATATCTTGGATAGTTTCTTAGAAATTGAGTCAAAAACAAATTTTTCAAAAGTGAGGTCAGGGTCAAAGGAAAGGTCAAGGTCAAAAAGTGTTGATGCAGTTGAAAAGCTCTCATCAATATGTATCAGCATATAAGGTTTGATAGAAGTATCTTGAATAATTACTTTGAAAATGATTAAAAACAAATTTATAAAAAGTGAAGTCAGGGTGTATGGAAAGGTCAAGGTAAAAAAATGTTGATGAAGTGAATAGCTTTCATCATCTTTCAGCTTATGAAGTTGATAAAAATATCTTGGAATAGTTTCTAACACATATAATTATTACATCTTAGTTATGTAGTTACCTGTACAGTAATGGGTGTGGCTGACATTAAGCCTCCACTGTTCATACATTTCATGACTACATCTTATTTATGTCCTTACCTGTACAGTAATGGGTGTGGCTGACATTAAGCCTTGACTGTCCATACATTTCATGACTACATCTTAGTTATGTCATTACCTGTACAGTAATGGGTGTGACTGACATTAAGCCTCCACTGTCCATACATTTCATGACTACATCTTAGTTTGTTACCTGTACAGTAATGGGTGTGGCTGACATTAAGCCTCCACTGTCCATACATTTCATGACTACATCTTAGTTATGTCATTACCTGTACAGTAATGGGTGTGGCTGACATTAAGCCTTGACTGTCCATACATTTCATGACTACATCTTAGTTTGTTTGTTACCTGTACAGTAATGGGTGTGGCTGACATTAAGCCTCGACTGTTCATACATTTCATGAATACATCTTAGTTATGTCATTACCTGTACAGTAATGGGTGTGGCTGACATTAAGCCTTGACTGTCCAGACATTTTACAGTCAATCTCTGTGTGTAGTTATCCTCTTTTTGGCCTTCACTCAGATATAAAGGAGAAATCAATGCCTCATCAGACTTCATCAGCTCAGTCTCCTGACCTACAGTTTAAGTAAAGTCAGTTCTGTATATACAGCAAAAAATATCCTTATAAAGTTCTATCAGTAATGAAAAGTCTCACACCAAATGAGTACTCTAATAGTATGCATCCCTAGATGAAACAGTCAGGCAAGTTTGGTCTGGGTACTACTAGCAACTTAAAATTACTTGGGACTGGATCTGTGCAGAAACTTTAACCTGCTTAATCATCCAGAAAATAAAGAACAAAAGAAGCATTCAAAACAAGTCTGATAGTTTACATTTCTTGATGCATCATTCATGCAAGTCTGCTCCAAGTAAAGAACATAATTACTTAAGAATGGACCTGTACATTAATTTTCCCAATAGTCGTTTCTTCTAAAACTTAAAGAAAATATAGTTTAAGGATACATAATAACTTGCTATTCATATTCCACTGTATTGCAGAACAAAAATTAAGTTGATAACAAGGATCATTAACCCAACTTATCATGATTTAAAGTAGAACCGTTATCTCAAAATTTCCTAAGAGGTTGCTGTTTTCCAAATCTTTACGGCCCCATTCCCAAAAAGTGGTGCGACAGCCTTGACTAAGCATTCTATGAGCCAAGTTGGGTTGAAACTGGCCCAGTGTTTCTGGCCGAGAAGATGAAAAAATTGTAAAAAGTTCACAACAATGAAGACAAAAAACAACAAAAGACAATGGACAAATTTTAATCAGAAAAGCTCACTTGAGCCAGGTGAGTTGAAAAGTAATTCTTGGATGGCCTATTTACCTGAAGGCTGTCTCTGATAGATAACATAAGACAGAGGGTGATCTGGGTCAGTAAACCCCTGACAGGACACATTGAATGCTGTCACTAGGGAGTAACCAGACTGAGGGCTGATGGTGCAGTTTCCTGGGGTAGGGGGTAGATTCACAGTCAGGTTATATTGCACTGTCACATTCCTGCCACTGAGAAAAGTTCCTAATAAATACACAGGACAATCATTCATTTTTGTAAACAGATGTTGTCTGAAAAAAAAGAGAATGTTACCAACTGAAAAGTGATTACAATTGTTTTCTCCTTCTCTATCAATTCCTTTTTTAACATTCAAAATTGATAAATTTAAATCTTTATTTTGAGGACACTTCCTTATCGAAATGAAATCCATTTAAATACCATTTAAAAGACATTTCTTCTCTGACCATTTTAAAACCATTCAGGAGCCATTTTATACCGTCAACTCTCTCAAGAATTCTCAACAGAAAGGATTATCATTCAAAAACCATTTTTCATTTTATTTCCATTCAAACCTCATTTAATATCCATTCAAACTCCATTTTTTTGGGCCTTATAACATGCAAATTAACCATTCCAAAACCATTTATGCAGATGAAAAGAAAAATGAAAAATAAATAGTTTTTGTTTTAACCATTTAATATCCATTTTAAAAACATTTTTACAATAATTGAAAAATGAAAAAAAGCTGGGTTCTCGATATCCACAGAATAATCACTTTAAAAATCCATCTTCTTAATAGTATAGAGTCAGTCATGAAACAAAGGTCAAATGTTTTATTTTTTCACAAACTTGGTTTTGCATTCCCAGAAATTTTGATGGATTCTCCTAATTCGATCTGAATAATGGTAGTCTGCATCTTTGACAATTTACAGTTTCCACGTTCATTTTGGTGTTCCATATGCAAGCAGTATACGTATTCTAAAAATAAAAGAAAATGCATAATGAGAAAAGAACGGAAAACTGCTTTGTCACATTTTTTTTTAACTACTGCAGCTGATCATTACTCCTGTAGCATAAATCAAATAACTTTTATGAGGTTGGTCTTCATGAACAATTTAAGTATACTTGTATAGCCCCGTGCCTGTATTCCCTATTTCATCAGAAACAAATGACAGATAAAATGCAGAAGAAATTTAACCATTTACCTGAGAAAATTGAGCAAGAAAATAGTTACAAAAGAACTATAATTGAAGTTAATAAGAATTTGCAATAGTGTCCCTCAGTCTAAGTTTTAACTAGATTGCTTTATAAATTAATTATTGCATCAATATGATCAGTGGACACTCCTAATGTACGTTTTCTTTCGAAAAAGCATTTTTCTGTTGTTGACATTAATTAAAATATGTACATATTTATACTTACTTCTCAAAAACCCTTTCAGTGATGGTAAATGTGTTGTTTTTCTTCTGCACCACTCCCCAAATATTAGAAACATTAAACTCTCAGATAATCATCCTCCAAGAAGTTAGTAATCTTATAATTCTACTTTGACCATCAAAGGTACAGTTTTTTCAGCATGAAAAACACTATAAATCTCAATCTTCCTTGAAGAATAATTCAGCCATCTAAGCTCCATCACTACCAGCTAGGTCGAAGTGCTCTTGTCCAATGTTAAAATAATTGCATTTACTGCTATGTGCAGTAAGTGCCAGTTATGGAAGAAGAATAGCCTAAGCGCGATAACTCTCCTGGCTTCAACCAAATTTCCCAAATATCCCCAGGTCATTAAATGCGCTTGCGCGCACATCCTTTCCGCTTCATCAATTTTGAACAGAGAACATCGACAAGAAATCAGCTTCAAGCCCTATCTCAATCAAGAGGATTATTGTATTGTATAAGTATCGCTCCTCAGGACATCGAAAAATGCTCCGTACAAAAAGAGTCTCCAAATCACCATACGCTAGACCCGGACGCGCCCAAGCTGCCGCCAAAAAGGCGAAAATCTCTAATACTACGACGAGACGGACCCAGGTCACACCCGCACCCACAGTACCAGTCGTATCAACTCAGCATGACATCCAGGAAAACCACACTCCAGCGTTGACAGCACCAGCTCCATCAACCCAAACTCCAGTGTTGACAGCACCAGCTCCATCGGCCCAAACGTCAGCGTTGACAGCACCAGCTCTATCAACCCAAACTCCAGAGATGACAGCACCAGCTACATCAATAATGGCAGCATCTGACCCCTCAGTCTTCTCTGCAGGTACATCAGCATCGTGTACTAATATCAATTTTGATGCAAATACACCAAATGCTTTAAACAGCGTTTCACACGCTTTGGGCGTGCATGTCTCGGATAGCTTGAGGCAAAATATCTTTGATAATGCATTCATTCACCTGCACAAATTGCTCCCCCTCAAACCAAATGACGAGCCCCAGCAACAGCTGGCATTTGTTAATGGTGAACTAGTCTTGAAACCCAAACATAAGGAAATCAAAATAATATCAATAGAAACATGGACAAATGCATTCCTAATATTTACCAGCATATACCTAACTAAATTCCCAGAACACATTCAGTCAATACTTAAATACATTAACATCATACACACTGCTGCACAGCGATCAACAAACTTAAACTGGCTCAATTACGACGTACAGTTCAGGTTAAAGCTATCTAGAAACCACACACTGGACTGGGGGTCTGTCGATGCAGAATTGTGGCTTTTGTATGTGACCCATGGCCAAACCACCCTATCCCAGCAAGCACCTAATCATACATCTAAATCACCCAAATGCTTTGACTTCAATTACAAAGGTACATTCGGCAGACCATACTGCACTTATCAACATGCATGCATAAAATGCTCCAATAGTCACCCACTCATAAACTGCCGCTGGCACAACAATCAGCCATTTCACACAGAGAGCTCTCAACTGTTCCAAGCAGAACAAACCCGCCAGCCCCCAAGCAGATTTCAGGGTAGAGGGCTCCCTCCAAACCACCCAAGGCCTCTGGGACTTGGCTCCAACACCAGTCAACGTTAACATCTTAAAATCAATGCTTAAAAGTTACCCGTTACAACACATAGCTCATGAATTGATCAATGGTTTTCAAGCTGGTTTCAACATTCACTATTTGGGTATTCGGGAATTTCAAAAATCTAAAAACATGAAATCTGCCCAGACAAATCCACATCAGCTTCAAGAAAAAATCGATCAAGAGGTAAAATTAGGCAGAATAGCTGGGCCCTTCAAAAATATTCCCATGTCAAATATCAAGTGCAGCCCAATAGGTATTGTTCCCAAAAAGCAGGGGGGTTGGCGTATGATTTGTAACTTATCTGCACCTGGGGGAAATAGCGTTAATGATTTTATTGACCCATATCTATGCACTGTTCATTAAACATCATTTGACTCGACAGTAAGAATGATAAAAGAACTGGGCCAGGGTGCCCTACTAGGCAAAAAAGACATTTCTAGTGCATTCAGACTCCTTCCTATTTGCCCAGAAGACTTTTCCCTGCTTGGCTTTCATTTTAAAAATTATTATTTCGATAAATGCCTCCCATTTGGATGTTCTATAGCTTGTGCCACATTTGAAAAATTTGCAACAGCCCTTCATTGGATCGTACAAGATCGAGCCAAAATTGACACATTAGTCCACTACCTTGATGATTTCCTTTTTGCAGGCCCCGCAAACACCCTTGTGTGCAAAAACCTCATGCAAACGTTTGATATAATTTGCGAAACTCTCGGCGTTCCTTTGTCAGAGGAAAAAACCGAAGGTCCTACAACATGTCTAACGTTTCTAGGGTTAGGGATCAATACCAGCAACCAAACCATCTTTATCCCTAAAGATAAACTTGACACCCTTAAAGCCCAACTTCAAAATGTTGCCTCGCGTCGCAAAATTACACTTAAAAGAAATGCAATCATTAGTCGGATCCCTGGCATTTATTTCCAAGGCAATACCTGCTGGGAGAGCCTTTTGTAGACGATTCTATGATAGCCTATCACAGGGACACAAAAAGCATCATTATATCACTATATCAAGGGCACTTCGTGAAGATGTAGCTATATGGCTCGAGTTTTTGTCTGACTTTAATGGCACTACTGTATTCCCAGATATGCGTTGGTCAGATAAAGACACTATCCACATATCCTCTGACAGCTCCGGCTCACTCGGATGTGGGGTCATATTTGGTTCACAATGGTCCTACCTACAATGGCCCTCAGAATGGTCACATCATGATTGTAGAGATCTGACCTATGTGG